GTGTACACATTGGCGTGCACGTAAAAGATCCCTTGGCAGTTGGAATTCGATATAAGAGTAGGCCGTAGTGCCGCTGTCCGGGCAAAATTTCCCTCATAGCACACTGTATGGCGTATGCCCGTCTTCATTAGCCCAGGTTAGGAGCAGAACAGTAGGGCGTTAAACTCCATTTCATTTCATTTCAACTTTTACAAATATTAAACATAGCAGATGCTTGTACGTTTCAATTCTCATTAGTTTCTGTTATCCAAAATACCATAAAACTACGAAATTCAAGCGATTTAGTTCATCGATACGAATCATTTCCATTGAATCATGCTCATAAATCAAATGCTAAGGTCACGAAAGCAGCAAGTTCAAGGTCAACCCACCTATACATTTATTTCCAAACGAATAAAACACTGTGTGATCATGTGTAGCCGTTAGTTCAACCTTCCAGCAGTTTTCAGTTCCAAAGCGTATTTGTTTAAATCCTTATGCCAGCTCACGAAAACTGGCACTGCATAGGTGCAATCAATTTTAACTAAAATGACATTCGTTGCATTAAAAGTGTTTGTTATATTCTTTGTTGCAGTTCGCACAATATTTCCAAGAAAGAGATGTAAGAAATGTAAAACAGCCAAGACCAAAGCGTAGCGAACTGAATAATTGTATTTAAGGTGTTTGAAGCTTTATAATTACAAATATACTGTTCATGATTTTTATATAATAAACGATATTATATTTAATATATTTGAAATTTTATGTAATTGGCATTTAGTTGTGTGTATAAAAATTGCAAAATCAGTATCTAAACCGCCAATTAAATTCCATCGAAACATGAAATAGACACAATTTATGTTTATATAATGACATGCCAAGCGGGGTGATGCGAACAACTTTATTAAAAATGATAATTACATTTTCATCTTCCAGGTGACCGGCAAGTTTTTCTAATAAGTAAACCGGTGCCGCATCGCAATTGTATAGGTGTAGGTACATATCACTTATCGTTATACAGCCGAGACTAGATGTAGAGTAACACCGTCCAGTACATTGGTCTGGTAGAACTAGGTAAATCATCCTACTAACGTCCAGAACAGTAGGCTGATATAATTCAATAAACCATTCTACTAACGTCCAGTACAGTAGTCTGATAGAAGTCCGTATATCATCCTACTAATGTCCAGTAAAGTGGGCTGGTAGAACTCCTCATATCACCCACTAATGTCTAGTACAGTGGGCTGATATAACTCGATCCTTTTATCATCCTACTAATGTCTAGTACAGTGGGCTGATAGAACTCAAATAGTCATTCTAACACCGTCCAGTACATTAGTCTGGTAGAACTCGGTAAACCATCCTACTAACATCCATTACAGTAGGCTGATAGAACTCGCTAAATCATCCTGCTAACGTCCAGTACAGTAGTCTGATAGAACTCGCTAAATCATCCTACTAACGTCCAGTACAGTAGGCTGACAGAACTTGGTAAACCATCCTACTAATGTCAAGTAGAGTATTCTGACAGAACTCGCTAACCAATTCTACAAACGGCCATTATAGTAGTCTTCTAGAACGCATTAAACCGTCATTCTTCTAAAGCCCATCTTTAGTTTGCCAGCTGGAATAGAACCTTGACTGAAATTAATAGAAATACAGATGTAGACCGATTACCGTTTAATAATTCAATTTGATACACTTCGTAAGGAGACATAGGCGAGGCTTAACGTCCACTGGACACAAACTGTGTGATTTCGGAACTAACATATGATTCAATTTGATTTCAATAACTCGCTTGCGCGTAGGGGCCTTCAGCAGTGATTGGAAACCGGAGAACCCTAGTCCATGACATACAATGACAGATCAAATTGTGACTTTATATTACAAACGATTCGCATGATTTATCAAATACCAAACAGAATTAAAATTTTACCTACTTCTTACAATTTAATTTATATCTTTTCCTCTGTGGATATCAGGGCTGTAGCATCATTAGTGTCCATCAATGATGAATATTGAGTATGACCATCGGCGGAAGAGCTGCAATCTGCGAAGTGGTCGCTGCGCTTTTAATAGATGTCCTAATAAACGATCGGAACATTGATGAATAATTCAACATAAGGTATTATATTGCTTATATCATAATATAAGCCATCAAGATGTAAAGGATCATTAAAAATCATCTCCCTACATGTATCAATTGTTTTTGTTTTATAATATGTAGATGCTTAAGTGGTCGAAACACGGTGGTATGGAACTGCTTTCATCTCAGTGTTTTATCGTATAAGTGATTTGCCACATTGGCGTTGTCTTCTCTTGGACAGTCGACATTGTTTGGTCTGTTGTAATTAGTTCTGGTAGTATCCACAGGGTGACGATGGCTCTGTCTTATCCGGTAATGGATAATAATTTTCCAAAATCAGCTTTACAGTCTGCTAAACAAAGCAAATGAGATTGGCTAGCTCGTTTTCCAGAGTTCGATCAAGGTGTTGGCCGGGAAAGTTCATCGGGGCCCTGCAAGGTACAACCCGAGACGAAAAGCACACTCATACACTCCTGTTTATCTAAAGGGGGTACAATATCATTTTGAATTCGCACCAATGCAGTTTCAGTGCTATTAAAATGTCTGTATGCACTTTGATAGATAACATTCTAGAAGGTTGTAGGTTGTATTCTTCTACATAAGAAATTGGAAAAGAAATTTAAGAGTTAACACCGGGCGATAAGTCTAGTATACATTAGGCTTTAAGTTTAATTTTTTAAAAGCTGGAAATACTTGAGAGACTTTAAAATATCAGGAACACCAGATGTTCTTATAGATGAATTGATAATGTCATTAATAACAGGCACTACATCAGTAAGACAGTTTTTAGGAGCCATATAGGAATAGCATATAGCCGGCACGACTTTTAAGGGGAGGATTTTGTAATCGCCGAAACATCATCGTCTTGTGGAACGTTGGGATGGTAGAAGATCTTTTGTAATCTTAGTTACGTTGCTGATAAAAAAAAATCAGATAATTCATTGCCTAATTGTACTGCACTTTCATGTTGAGGAAGTATTGTTAATAAGTTATTAAAGAGTTAATAACTTTGTAGAGCTGTTTTGATGGTTGTAACTGCCTTTGATATTACTTAAGTAGTGGGTGTTTTTGGCTTCTATTCTAAGATGATTTATCATGTTTTTTCAGAATTTTGTAGATGTCTTTATGTCCCCCCGGGTTCGTTCGCCACAATGTTGTTTCGGCAGTAATTATATAATAAATAAAATAAATACTCATATGAAAGTATATTTCTACTAGCTTTTTTTTTCTGATGTGCGTATGATACAGTTCTTAGCCTATGGGCTAGTGCTCACTGGGTTCCATTCATTTTCGTCAATTTTTCATTTTAATTTATTAACCATAAAAGCATCTATTAGGTTTTTTTCAGTAATTTTAATTACATTTTTACTTTCAATATAGATACATCAAATTACGATGTTACAATTTACGAAATTCTTGTTTGCTTTGCAGAGGCTTTGTTTTGAAAGCTTATTTAGTACACTACAACCAGTTGTTAATGAATTTGTAACAAAACATTGTTTTGGTAGCTGCATCATATCTTAACCAAAAATTTGAAAATTTCCGTTCAGCCCTAAAAGATCTATGCTTTTCGAAATTTTTCTCTGCCGCGGATGTTGTTGTGTTCAACTGTAAGTACCAAGGTCAATTTGATAATATGCTATTGCTGGTCGTCTTGTGGATTCAACAATAACGTCAACGGGAGAAATGAATTAAGCGTGATCTGTTTCCCTTATGATATTCGTAGTTGTCTCCCTTACACATCTGATTGACTTGCAATAACCTCACAAATCAACAGGGCCGCCTTCGCCTCGTTCAAATGTTCAACCATGATTCAAATAGGTCTCGAATATGCGCACCCGAACTTGAAATGGTCAGACTCTAGTCAGGATCGCGACAAAACATATGTTGTGTTGGAATTGGTATTTGAAGATAGACCGTATACTACCAATGTTTCCCCAGGATCTGCGAGTTATTTAAATCTATATAATATATTTAAGTAGTTTCCATATTATATAGAGTGGATAATCATGTTTTGTCAATCAATTCGACCAAGGCTGATGTCAGACTGAAATTGTGGAAGTGACAGTATTGTAGTAAAAATATTTCATCCATTTGTGAATTTTTTGGGGAAAAACAGTAATACAACCAAACGATTTTGTTCATTAAATATATCAGTTTGATATACATTGTAAATATAAATTATGTAACTGTAAACAAACTCTAGATATTTGGTTGGTTTGTTTATTTTATTGTCTGGAGGTAACACGGTCACTAATTCAACTGTGAGTAGATTTCTTGAAATTCTCGTTATCATATTCTGCCTCTAGTACAGCTTTTTCACCATAGTCAGAAACTTTTGGCAAACGTTCCAGGAATTTGTCTCCAAAGAATGAGTGGTCATATCAAAGTTTTCGGTAAGCAAACTTGCGTTTTCGTCAAGTAAAAGCTTTTTTCATTGAGGAGAGCGGCGTCCATTTTGACGACTATGGTCGAACCAGCTTCCGTTCGGGTGTTGTGAACTATACTTTGTCGTATAGTCATGACCATACAAGCGCACCCGAAGGCATAATTTTATTCTAGTAAACATTGTTTTAAATTTGGGAGTGTGATCTCCACTATTTCAAATACCAAAACTACGTCATTACTTTATACTAAATTTGGCGTGAAATGGTTCAGAAATTTTGGAAATACAATCTCTATTTGTTGCTTGTTATATAACAGTACATGTATTTAAATCACCCTAAGCCCACTCTTTAAAGTTTAAAATATAAAATTTCAGTCACATTGGGTAATGACTTACAATTAGATGTCGATAGATATTCGAACGTAGTTTTCTACCAATCGTAATACAGAAAAGTGGCCTGGATTTGAAACTATAGAACATGAAAGAAACACACAGAGTTGTCGTAAAATTGTATTTGGGTGAGCACGGTACAGCCAGGAGGTTTTCTACTTATAGCTGAGTTGTCGATATTAAGTCGATTACATTTTGTTGTTAACATTCTGGTTGTGTAACGTCAGATAGCATTTCCAATGGAACTGAAAAATAAAGACATACATTATGTTGACATTGTGAAATACAGTCCAATTAATCAACTAATGTTATTTTATTCATAGATGTGTTAATTTCAATAACTGAAATAACAGACAATCGGGTGATGATGTTATAAAGTGTTAATTTCGATAGATGATGCGGCAAACAATTAGGTAATGAAATTATAATGCGTTGATGTGGTCATAAAATTAGATGATGATGTTATAATGTGTTGATTTTAATAACTGATGCGGTCATAAAATTAGGTGATGGTGTTATAATGTTTTGATTGTTTATAAAATAAAATTAGGTGAAAATGTAATAATATGTTAATTTTAATAAGTGATGCGTTCATAGTTTAACTTCCCACTTTTTTGCGCCGACTGAGCAACTGAAGACGGGCAACGGGCATACGTCACGCAGTGTGCTACGAGGGAAACTTTGCTAGGACACCGGTGCTACGGCCAACTCTTATTTCGAATTTCATCTGCCAAAGCATGTTTTACGTGCACGCCAATGTGTACACACACATCATCTCGGATTTTTGTCCCATCCGAACGACTAGACAGCTGTCCTTGTCAGACTCTCTGTCCTGCACCACTGGCGAGGGGAAAGGGGAAACAAAGCCGGAAAAGCCCAAGGAAACTTTCTCGGCCCACGCTGGGAATGAACCTGAGACCACCAGGCTAGCTAGCCCGCGTATTATTCACTGAGCCACCACGGCTTCAAACAAGCGGCGAAGAGTAAAAAAAACCAAAAAAAAAACCACGTTATACATGTTAGTTAACACTGACCAGATCAAACAATATCGTGTATTGTCCGTCGAATGCAACGACTCGAAGACCACGAACAATGGACAGCGGGATGACTGCATAAATGAAATGGGGTTTTGGCATCCCACTTGTCTGTACCATACAGTGCGCTATGAGGGCGATTTTGGTCTGACAACAATTGAATTCCAAAAGTCACGCCAACGTGTATACGGGACTTCTAGTTCCTGTCCCATTCGAACGACTAGACCCCTAGTAAATTTCCTGCCAATTCCGGAATCAAAAACAGGATCTCTTGGTTAGTCAGTCAGCGTCTTAGGCACCGTAGTAGTAGTAGTACCCTGGTGTTTTACGTCTGCTTCCACATAAGTGATATCGCAGACAAGAAATAGGAGAGCCGAAGCTGCTTCCTGTTTTTAGAATATTAGGCACCGAGTCACCAAACAGGATATTAACAATGGTTAACGTATTGTATAATAATAATACTATAGTTTGACATGGTTAAAGTGTATTATAAGAGTATTTAAAATACAGATGCGACGGCATCCTTTGATATTGGCGTACCGTATATTATGACATGGTTAAAGTGTATTATACGATTATATTTTGACATGGTTAATGTGTATTACGACATGGTTAATGTGTATTACGACATGGTTAATGTGTATTATAAGAGTATATTGTAAATTGTATTATATTATTAGAGTATATTTTGACATTTGAATGTGTGCTATAAGAGTATATGATAAAATAGTTGAAGTGTATTATAAGAGTATATTATGACATGGTTAAAGACTATTATAAGAGTATATTTTGACATGTGTATTACGGCATGATTAATGTGTATTTTAAGAGTATATTATGACATTGTTAATGTGTATTATAAGTGTATATTAAGACATTGTTAATGTGCATGATAAGAGTATATTATGACACTGTTAGTGTGTATTATAAGAGTTCATTGTGACATGGATCATGTGTATTATAAGAGTATATTATACCATTGTTAATGTGTATTATGAGAGTTCAGTATGACCTATATAACAAACTGGTGTGATTAATACACATATTTCAGTGATCACATTTCGTAATAAACTGACAGTATCTAATAATAAACTGATGAAATAATTTACTTACTTTCAGCTGGATCTCGATCTAGTTTAATATTACCATTAGCAACACAGCCACCACAATTGCCATCACCTCTACCTTCAAATCTTAACGATGACCTTTGTATTATATCACAATAGGCACGCCACCCAACACCTGCCCATTCAATCTATGATAATATATAATTTAATTCAACACCATAAACATGTGTTAGCGGCGTGTTTGTGGACGGTTGGGGGCTGTCACCAGCTATCAAGCGAGGAGTGTGGACGAGGTGCTGTAGAGGCAGAAATAATATAAAGAAAATGCCCCGCACACGACACCCACCACAACCCATATTTTGAACTATGATGATTAATAATGGCATTTACTATGAGATTTCAGACGACGACCATTAAATACAAACATAAAGTAATTAGCGACCATAAGACGTGTGTTCGAATACTTTGATTGACGCCATTCAGGTCAAATCAGAAACGCCTGTTGAAGAATAAGGGAAATATATTGCCTCAAACCTTAATTTTCTATAAGTATTAATAAAAGCCTTAAAGCAATCCATAGGGGTCGGGGATAAGGAATAAGTGGGGAAACAAAATCATGGCTCATCCAAATTCCTTGTCAAAGATCCAAAATGCTTCCAAGTAATGGTGGACCGACCATTAGATGGTACAGTATAAAAGTACTATAAACTAACCTGTGAATTGATCGCCAATCCAGTCTTCGTGAGATCAATCAATACGTATCCTCGTTTAGAACAACTTAAAAAGGACTGTATTCGGGAACACCCCCCGCCAAGGCCATAGGCTATCGACACTCCAAACTTCTGGATGGTGAATTTATTGTCATTAGGTATAACCTCACCAGTCTGCTTCACCATAGCATGAAATAACAAAACGGAAACAATATTTTACCATTCTGCTTCATATCTAAACTAACACAATAAAACAAAAACAATACTTCAAAAGTCTACTTCAACACATCATAAAATACGATAACAAAAACCAAGACTTCAACAGTCTGCTTCATCACATCATAATATAACAAAACAAAGAAAAACAATTCTTCACAAGTCTGCTTATCATATCATAAAATAGTATGATTTAAAATAACAATACAGAATCAGTCTGCTTCGTCACATCATAAAATAAAATAACAAAACGAAAAACAATACTTCAACAATCTGCTATATCACATCGTAAAATAGCATGATCTAAAATAACAATACAAAACCAGTCTGCTTCGTCACATCATAAAATATACTCTTCAAAAAAGGTAGGGGATATTGAAATGCAAATATCTATGCAGGTTGTGATATGATAAATAGCCATGGACACTTGACATGCTTTGAGAGTATGTTCACAGATGAAGAACTTATCACCCCAACAAAACCACTGAGCTGCACACGCTACACGCAATAGCGCCATACACGTGGGAGGGGTTCATTGTTAAATTTGACACTTCAAGGAAGGGTTGATGAAAACTGCCGCGTGCTGGTTTATCAATGCATGTTTGCTTTCCTATCGGTTGTTGCATAAGATTTACCTTTTAGCCTATCTTTGCTTTAGTGTGTTACGTTTAATTTGATCGGGAGATCTGTTCGTCGACGTCAACGTCAACCGACAACACTGCAAGAATTGGTCGTGGCAGAAGAGGAGTGGATCAGATTGCCCCAAATCGTGATTGGACGGTTAATTAGGAGCATGCCACGAGGAATCGCTGAATGTCTGAGGATTGGTGGAGCAATTACTCATTATTAAGACAAAAATCAAAAACGTCCATTTTCACTTTTGACAGAAGGATGTCCTGAATGGATTCTCATTACAAATTTAATACTTGCCTTTATATTAAATCTAATTTTATTAAATTGTGTCTTGCCCTTTTTTGCAGCATTAATGCCATGATCCACCGAACAATCCGCTGAAATATAAACTCCACCGGCATATTCAGCTACATTTAGATTTGATAGACTGATATATTCCTTGGGTTGTGACGATGATAAACCATGACAATACATCTTCACTCTCTTGTAACTATATATAGCAGGATATAACCAATATTCACCATCTACATACGATGAATCACACCTCTTTATATCTTCGCATGATGATATGACTATAATATAAAACATTATATTTATTCACCTGCTGATATAACTATAATATAAAAACATTATATATATTCACATGGTCATTATATATCTCCACATGATGATATAACTATAATATAAAACATTATATATACATGTTTCTTCACATGATGATATAACTATAATATAAAAACATTATATATATTCACATGGTCATTATATATCTCCACATGATGATATAACTATAATATAAAACATTATATATACATGTTTCTTCACATGATGATATAACTATAATATAAAACATATATATTCATGTGATCATCTAACTATAGTATAAAACATTATATATCATCACATGATCATACTATAATTTCAAACTCATCGTAAAGTACTTTAAAATGTTATTAAACCAGTATTGAAATCAGTTTGTGTTGGCATGAGATTTCAGCGTTTACTTTTTGGCCCGATTTTCTTGAAATTAAAACTCAGACAACATTACGATGTAGCGGATATATATTGGAACGGTTTTTTAAATCGGATAATAATTGTGACCTCTAGAGGGACCACAAGCTAAAAACGCGATTTTTCGTACAATCAGGGGCCATAATTCAGGAAGTTAAGATTCGGTATGTACGAAACTCGAAAGGAACCAAGATATTTGGGTTATAAACATGCATTTCAAGTTTCGTCAAAAACAGATGAAAATTATTGTGACCTCCAGAAGGTGCATTTCCCTGACACTATTTGCGAACGACGGGCGGCCATTTTGTCCGTCAGTTTCGGTCCGATTTTTACAAAATTCGAACTCAACCATTCTTAGGGTGTAACGGTGATATATTCAAACTTTCTTTTAAATCGGATAAAAATTGTGACCTCTATAGGGTCCACAATCTAAATACGCGATTTTTCGTACAATCAGGGGCCATAATTCAGGAACCTAGATCTGTGGGTTATAAACATACATTTCAAGTTTAAACCAAATCTGATAAAAATTGTGACCTCTACAGTGTTCACAAGCTAAAAAAGTGATTTTCGTACAATCAGGGGCTATAATTCATGTAGTAACAGTCCGATACATGCCAATATCGAAAGGAATCGAGATCTTGGGGTGTTAAACCTACATACAAAGTTTCATTAAAATCGGATAAAAATTGTGACCTGTAGCGTGTTCACAAACAGTTGTGGACGGACGAACAAGAGCGACGAGAATATACGTACACATGAAAATGTGGGCATATAAAAACTATAGTATGGTGATATAACTATATATACATAGTATAAAAGCCATTGTAAATTGCAGGTGGCTCAGTGAGTATGACATGACACTGCCTGAATACCTAAGCCATTGCGAGGTTGATACTGGTGCTTGTTGTTCGAGAAAGTTGCTTTTTTAACTTGGTTTCGCCATATCCGTCGCGCGGGGCGGACAGTCTGTCAAGGAAAATTATCTAGTTAATCGCGAGGTACGGAAAACCGATGTCCACCAGTGTACTCGTTGGCATTCGCGTAAAAGTTACCTTGGCAGTTGGAATTCCATGAACAGTGGGTGGAAACGCTAATAACCTTGTACTATCCTCGTCTCTATTAGCGCCGTTGATGCAGCCAAGTGGGACGTTAAACCCTATTTCTAAAAACATACTCCGCTACGTATATACAGTAACCTAGTGCAATGGTTTGGGTCTCATTTTCATCATTTAGGAGAAAATATAACATGGGGGAATTAAAGCCGAGAATAGAAACACCAGATTTTGACTTAACAGGACAGGACCAAGAATAGTCAAGACTTCAAGGGCGATCTGCAATCAGAAGACCATCAGAAGACCGTCTTACCTGAAATACGACATGATTCGATCACTAAATCACGTATTAAAATATCTTACTATTGCAGTTTAACTGAAGAGGTGTCCAGAGATTTGTTGATGGTTGACAATCTGTAAATGGAGCACTGTTTGTTGTATAGTAAGGACTTTTACATCTGTAGGTAGCTCTATAGACACCGGATACCAATTTTACTGACTCTAATCCAGATAGAGTAAGACTGGGTGGTGGACCACATAGAGGAGCTACAAAACCCAACACAAAGCGAATTAGCTACTGAATACACACACCAGACAAAAATTGACCGGTGAAAGGCGTCCCCGAAGGACTGCTCTTACCGCGCCTGCATTTATTATAACATCGTTAAAATAGCAGTAGTGTTATTACTGTATAAAACCAACCACTCCCGGTATTTGGATTACGTTTAAGTGGGCTATTTTATGAGTTTCTATTTAATCTAGTAAACCTCGATGTTCTCCACTACTACATTTGGAAAAAATGTTTCAATCCTTAAATGATTTAGCTCCAAAATCAACATATCTTTACAGTAGTGTAGGTTATCGACAGACAAGACAGATAAACAACGGGTATTATTCATAAATATTGTAAATAGCGATACAAAAACTAATTTACAACAATGTTTTGATTTACCTGGTGGTGATAAAATATGGTCATGCCAACGTTTAACATAATGGTGATAAAATATGGTTACGTCATTTTTTGTTTACCAAAAGACTGTACTATTTTTGTAACTAAAAAGAACTTACCATTACTCATCCAATATTGAAATCCATTTTCGTAAACCAGATTCTGTGTAGAGTATACTTTGTCTGGTACAGTTATACACGCCATGGTATTGGGATGATAGAAATATGAATGATGTCCTCTATAATCTGTCATAAAGGCACATTCTAATTTACAACTGGTATACAACACAGAACTTTGATCAGGTATAACATAGTTAGATATAAATAAAATAAAGTTAAATTCGATAAACTCCATCTTCAGTTTGCTAGCTAGAATATGACTTTGACTGAAATTAAAAGAAATAAGATTGTACCAAATCCAGAGGAAGTTAAAGACATAATAGACAGCCTAGATATTACAAAAGCCTCAGGACCCGACGAAATAAACGCGAGAATTCTAAAATACATCTCAAAAGAAATCGGTCATCCACTTTGCCAACTTTTTAAACTATCATTAGATCTACACATTGTACCAAACATTTGGAAATTTGCAAACGTGGTCGCTATATTCAAAAAAGGCTCTCCAAACGATTGTAGTAATTATAGACCAATCTCCCTCTTAAGTATAATAGTCAAAATTTTTGAAAAAATCATCCACAAACATGTCTTTAACTTCCTTAGAGATAACTCAATACTAACACCTGTCCAGAGTGGCTTTCTTCCAGGTGATTCTACCATATTTCAACTAATCGACCTAACACACTTCTTCTGTCGAGCCATTGACCAACATCAATATACTAGAATAGTCTTCTGTGACATCAGCAAGGCCTTTGACAGGGTTTGGCATGCCGGACTCTGTCACAAGCTGGACGCTGCGGGGTTCGAGGAGATCTACTGCTCTGGTTCGTAGATTATTTAAAAAATAGACAACAATGTGTAACCATCAGTGGTACCTCCTCGGACCCCAGAAGCATCCCTGCTGGTGTTCCACAGGGATCTGTACTAGGCCCTCTTTTATTCTTAATATACATAAATGATATTGTGAACAATATAAATTCAAACATTAGATTATTTGCTGACGATACCTCTTTATACTTAAAAATTGAAGACCCAGAGGCAAGTGCTGCTACCATTAACGATGACTTAAATCGAATCAGAAATTGGGCTGAGACATGGCTGGTAACTTTTAACCCCCTAAAAACAGAGACACTGACTATTAC